CTACGTCAATTAAATAAAATAATTAATAAAATAAAATAAAAGATATATAATATTTAATTTTTAAATGTACTTGTTTAAATATCACACAAGCTTTATATATCTAATTTATTATATATAATACTCAAACTACTCGGATTTTTCTCTTAAAGGATTATCAATGGCTGTTAGACTTCTTGTACACGAGCGATAAAATAACGCGGCGGAAAAATCACTCACATGTACAGGGGGTCTTATAACGAACAACGAGACACAAAAATATAAAATAAATATCTTTGCTTTGTTTTATTTCCTTCTTAATCTAGTTTCTATAGGTAATGATATTAAATCTGTCGATTTTTTCGCAGATCCTTTGTGTCATCAACGCTCTATACTTTCAAATTCAGTTTTTTGGAGAATTGCGATTAGATTTTGTGTCATAAACGATAAAACAATCATAAGATAAGAAAATTACTCATGGAAATGTAGATCTTGTATAAAGAGGGTTTATCAGAAATACTGGATATTTCCGTTGCTTTTAAAGATATAAAAAAATATCTGAAGAAAAAGTTTTACAATAGAATTGTCATTTCGAATTGTGTAAAACTTTTTCCGCACTTAAGACACAAGTTTTCTTCTACTTTTTATCTCAATTTTCAATCCAACATTTTGATATTTTAAACAGTTAGATTATATTTTTTTGAACTTATTTAACCTATTAATTTTTTATGTGAGATACATAGTAGGAGCTCAACTTCTGTTAATAAATTAAACCTATCGAAATCCTTTGGAATAAATGTGAAAATGTTGAAAATAGGAACAAAATTTCGAGTTGGGCAGATATTTTTTTCATTTCTCTATTGCAACGGAAATATTCCGATATATTATTTCTCTTGGATCTTCCTATAATAGCGAAATAAGAATATAAAATGAATGTCTTTATTTTTCGATGTTTTAATTTCTTTCGTTCTTTCTAGTTAAAGTTTTTTTTAGACTTTAGGATCTCGTCGTTAAATCTATCGGTTTCTTCGCGGACGAACTTTCTGTGTCACTGGCGCTTTCTGTTTCATCGTCTTGCAAATGATTGTTCACAGGTATCGCGATGGTTTTCATGGAAAGATCTATCGGATTATCCTGCGGTGGCTGACAAGCGTCTTCTCGTTCCGAACTACACTCGAATGATTCATCCTCGGAAGTTCGCGTTTCCTTCGGAGTCGGCGATCTCTCCGATAACGTTCGTTCGCTCTTCAGGACCGTCTCCAGACAGAATCGATCGTTATTGTTGTTCCTCTCGCAAAAATCATTGTCATTGACGGACGATGTCGACACTCTTGATCCGATCGTCGCTGTCGTCGACGATGTTACGGTCGATGTCGTAGGACTGTCGTTCTCATCATTCGTCGTCACCGGCGAGCGCCGCAGCATGCTAGACGGATGATTCGTCATGAAAGGGTGGGACGCGCCGTGATGCGTCGCGTAGATGTGAGCGTAGGGTGAAAACATGGTAAGACCAGGCGGCTGTAGAAAAGCCGATGGCAGCAACGACATATTGCCGAGTGGGAAGCCCAACGGTAGACCCATCATCTCCTTGCTCAAGACGGACAGATCAGCCACAGGCTGCTGCAACTGCAATGGCGGATGCATCGGTCGTAAACTGGGGTGTCCGATGAAGACCGCTCTCTTCTCGGAGACCTCGACGGAGCTATCGCTATTGTGAGATTCAGGCGAGCTGATGCTGGGTGAGTTCGAATTCTTGTAGTCGTCTAGACTGAGCATCATGGTTTCGTCCTTGCGTTGGCTACCGTGAATAGGAGAGCTCGTCGGCTGTTGCGAGAGCTGATGCGGTAGTTGCTGCCGACCGAGAATAGCCGGCGTGTAATGATGTTGCTGCTGCTGTTGCTGTTGTTGTTCTATTTGCTGTTGCTGTTGTTGCTGTAAAAGACAATGGATTTTGAACCAGTTGGATCTGCGGCCGTATCGTGAACCAGACTTGGACATGCCGACGTGGAGACATTTTCTTAAGCGGCAGGCTTTGCATGCGGTACGATTTTTCTTGTTTATCACGCACTCGCCCCCATTCTTGCATTCGGCGATGCTATTCAGGTTATTGTATGAGCGCCCAAAGAATGACTGCAACAAGAATAATTAATTTAATTAATTAGCATTAATGTAATAGGTACAGTATACGCTGCAGAACACGATGAAATCATTTTCCAGAAAAGAATATAATGTTACACGAAAAGTTTAAGAATTTAATTTAATTCTATTTAATTTTATATTTGTAAGATATCAAATTTTAATTATAATAAATTGTTATAATATAAAAAAGCTTGAAGCGTATCCACACATTGGCAATTACAAGATAAAATATATATATGAACGCAACAACAATAATTACAACATAAAATTCTTTAAATGTTCTTATTACACTTAATAATACTCCTAAATTATTTTTTCTAAAAAAATAAGAGGGAAATAATGATTCGCTTCATATAGCCCGGAAATTTTCTATTTAAGCAAGAGATCTTATTCCTGAAGACTTCAAGCAAATTCGGGAGGGTGGCAACCGCGTGATTATCATATAAGATATATTAATATCAGATCTGTTTTTATTAAGCTAACGACTAGCTAGAAACAATTGAAGGACGAGAACTTTAACATATTTACATTTACATCCTCAACGTCTAGTTTATGTAAAATATAAGAAAACTTTGATTTTTAATGTTAGATAACTACCGAATTATCATACAATCGTCACCAGGTTCTCTCATCTATTTTCCCCGATGAAAATCTCAAAGCATCTATCGCCGGACATGTAACCAAGGTACACGATTCGGTAGACGATTTCTTCGTCTACCGGATCGCGGAACTATTTATATGTCCTCCATATAGTCTGTCTTAAATTCCAGAAAGGCACTACCAGTCTACAAATCGCGCCGTGATTCCATCTTAAAAGCGAAGTTGTGTTCGACAGTTACGCTACCGGAAAAAAAGGACGGCGAAAGTATCGTCCGTGACACCTGTGTGAAAATTTGGACGCGCAGAAGAGAATATCTACTCGAAATTCTCAACGTTTATAATGAAATCATTCCGAATTTATTCAAAGAGACAAAATTCTCGAGTACGGACGTTAATAATAATAATAAAATGAGTATAACAATATATACTGTGCATATCTAAAGTTCAAAAATTAAAAGGTAAAATTAAAGTTTAAAAAGCTAAGACTGTTACAAAAATTTTTATACATGTTTTATATATTTACATTAAAATATTTTAATACCGATTACAGGCAAAAATTTTATTAAAAAAAATCTTATTAAAAAAAAAAAATTATTTAAAAAAAAAATCATAACGTGCTGAGTGACAGAACCGTCATGTTAAAAAAAAATATATAAATGAAAATGTCGATATCTCCGAGGTTTTCTTCTCGCGAACGTTCTTTCTTTGCTTCCGGATGCATCACGAGGAGACGAGAAGGCCACGGTGGCGGAAACGATATCGGTAAGCATTTGTAAGATAAAACGGCCGATGTACATGTGAGTGTACACGTGAACATGTGCGTGTGCGAACGTATGCACTACACGGCGTATTTATCGGGCGACGTTCCTATCCTCCGTCGTTCGTCTTCGTCTCGCGTGATTACCGCGAATGAAGGAGCGAGCGGAACGTGTGCGCTCGTTAATTAAAACGGCGGAATCTCGTTAAAGTCGATTGGCTGTTGCGTAAGCGACCATCGATCGACGGCTCGCTCGTGTCGGAATTGAGATGTGAGCCGTCGTAATTTTTTCTCCACAAGGTTTGCTTGTGCGAATGGAGCGCGCGTGCCTCGCATTTACTTAGGCTCGTTCACGTGTAAGGGTGCGCGAAGAAAGGGACCACGGGAGTTCGGTGAGTTCGCGCGCGAGAAAGTAATTAAGGGATGCGAAACGAAACTTGTCATTCATATAGTACCAGCATATACGTATCTCAGACGTGCGCTGCTTTTTTATGCAGTTCTCTTGCAAGTGTTTGCATTATGAGCAGTTTTTCAATCCTAAGGTGAACAATTAAGAAGTTATTTTTTTTTTTATACACATTCTTACGCACTAAAAGATCGTTTAAGATTTTGTGCATACTGTTGTAATTTTATATCTCGAGATTTTATTTTTATAAAATATGAATACGGAAAAGATCTATTCAAATTATTTTTTGTTATATATCAAAAATTAAAGAATGTTTATCTCGAGAATAATAAAATATAGAATGCAAAATATAAAATGTGCAAAATATTATTTTAGAATTATAAGAAAAGGAAGAAATATTAATCATTGATATATTTTACATCTGTATACATTTTTATATATACATATATATTTTTAATTTTATTATAATTTTATAAAATGTATATATACATTTCACAAAATTATAAAAATTATAAAAAATATATATTTTATAATATTTTGCAGCACTTCGAATTTGTTGATTTATCAACAAATGTTATTTATC